GGGCAAAACATATGAAAGAATCACAAGCTGGACTTCATACGACAACATACCAACAGAAGCAAGAGGAGGGCACATCCTTCCTCTACCCCAGCTCAGCTGTTGATCCTATGAAGCGTTCTGACTTCTTGCTTGACTGGGATTAATGATCAGAGCCTTTGATGATAACAGGAAGAAAAAAGCAGAAAAGAGAAAAAAACGCTTAGGCAGAGATCCACTGTTTTAACAGTTTCTCTTTGAACTCAGAAGACAGCAGTTCAGAAGTGACTCAGTCTCCAGCATTCCCTGTTGTAAAATAGCATTTTGAATTACCTTCAGTATACTGCTTAATCCTAATGAGATTGTGAACAGTTATTCTTATATTTCCTGTATCAAGATATTATTATTTAATAGATAGTTACTGATTTCTTTTTTCCTATCATTAGCACTGTACTAACTTATATATCAGAAATAGCCACCATACCTCCTCTTAGCACCTTACAATGTATATATACTAGGAAAACCAGGTCTGAACCAAAATTCTGTATCCAAACATTTTGTGAAATTAGTATCCATAAATCAACATTAATGACTGCAAACACTTTTTTTTAGAAGTAAAGTTCAACCATTTTTACTTATAGCTTTCACTACACTGAGAGCTCAGTGCAGAGAATAAGGTTACTAAGATTATAAGAAATTGGTAGGAAGACTACAAACAGAATTCCATACAAGTTATATTGAACTGTACAGTCCTACCTGCAGGATTCTTTGCAGGCCTGATCTGATGTGATCTGATCATCTGTAGAGCTGATAGTTATTTCTCCGATGCAAGAATAAGTAATTGAGATTATAAGATGACCATATTTTCTTCATTAGCCAGTTTTTTCTTCATTATCTTGCTGTGAAGAGTTTTTGAGGGCAAGCAGGACTTAATAATATAAGGATATAATTATTCCATGGGACATTTGAGTGTTCAGTTTGGGGCAATTTAGAATAAATACAGTTATGTTTCTCTAAGCTGGCTCTCAATTCTTGTCAAGTTGTCCTGAAAGAAAAGACTGTATCCATACAGAAGCATAGGCAACTGAAGGACCAGGAGCACCTAGCTTTTTCAGATTGTGCTTCCTGTATTTAACCACAAGGTTGGCCAGCAATTATCACTCGCATGATCTTGTTTCTATCTTTATTCTTGCCAGGTAACTCTTTCAAATAAGTTTGATGCTTTTCCATGCTCAGAAGTGGAAACTGAAAGTTGCCCATTAGACTACAGACTTATATAAAACAATATTGAAAATTTCTCTGCACTTTTTGAAGGAGCTTATTCACCACAAGGAAGAATATTTCAGCTTTCCTGGCTTGGAATAATATTATTTGCCTACCATTATTTTCTGAAGCTGGAGTGTTAAGTAACAAAAAGGAAAAAGGATGGCTAAGTAGTATAAAAAGTACAAGATGACAAGGTAAAGAGAAACCATTTTCAATAGAGCTCATTTATAGCAAAGAGAAACAATTTAAGGTGAAAGACTCCAAGTGTTTGCAAGTCAGGTTTATATTGGCAAAATCTGTTCTGCAAACATTGCAAAACGTGGCTGCTGGATTCTAGTTTACTTTTAAATCTACACCAAGTGTGGTTTCAGTGGCCGTATACATTTTATGGTCTGCAAGCATAAGTTTGTGCTTCTTGAGTCTACCATGTAATGGGATGGCAGGCTGGTCCTGCAGACACTTCACAAATTTAACTTTACAGTATACCTGATTTCTTTGGAATTATAAGATGAGATGAGATGAAAGTCTGTACTCAAGTACACACTACAGCATAGGAATGAAACCTCTGAGTGTAAAACTGCGTCTGTCGGAGTGCACAAGAAGTGAAAGCTAATATGCTAAACTAATGGGCATATTAGCATATGTTTTTCCAGTATCCAAAACCAAGTAAACCAAGGCTACTGTGGCTGCCAATGAGAATTCACAATACATCCAGAAGGAAATAAACCTACAACAGGATATTTTCCAGTTTCTTAAAGAAAACTCAAGAAATAAGAATGTACTTCTAAGGACTAAAAACAATAATAGAATAGAAATAGAATATCTCTGAAATGCAGTATAAGAAATAATAATTAAAGGCCCTGAGATGGCAGAACTCCTATGTAAATAGTTTGTGATTTCTTTAGGAAGGAAGTAGAACTAAAGATATACACAGACAAAATTCAAGGAAGAAGATGAAATGCTCAGAGGGAAAATCTGCAGTAGGAAAATGCTAAATATTTATTTACCTAACTGTAGTCATTTCAGATCTTTATCATTAGGTGAAATTCCTAAAAGATTATGAGTTTCATTTAATACTTATTTGAGTGGCTTTTTGTGAGTGAAACTGGTAGGTGTTGAATTCACTACCTGAAAATTACATGATTAAAAAGGAAGCACAGAACATGAATCAGGGAAATGCATAATACTGTTCTACTCTTCGAAATAAAAGGAGAAAATGAGCTAAATAATGAGCCCGAGCAATTTGTCACTGTAGGAGCAGAGGCAGATGTTGACTTAAAAGTGTTGGCTCTTCATCTGGGAAGTGCATGAGCATATGGAAGCATTGAGCAGGATCGAGTACAGGGGTACAGCAGTGTATTTGATTCTGTGAAATTACAGCAAAAGGAGAGTCAATTTTTCATTCATTCTACTGACTTTTGCTTATCAATATGTAAACATCTGTGGCTGAAAAAATGCTCACGTGCCCAGTGCTGGTAAAGCTATGAAATCATGCGCTGAGAGTGTAATCTGGCTTCCTATATCACACACGATTGCATTTCACAGTTACTCGTGTATCAAGTTAATTATTTGGCTATAAATAAATAACAACTTGTGTTCCGCTTGAGCACATTTTCCAGAAATGCATGACCTCAAGATACCAAGAAAAGAAGAATTCGTTACTTTCCTTTGACAGTTTGTTCCAGCAGTTAATCCCCATCACTCTTAACTAATAGGTACTCTGTTCTAATTTGAGTTTATCTGGCTTTAACCTCTAGCCACTGGTTCATGTCATGCTTGTTTGCCTTGACTGAAGAGCCTTCATTGTACTGTTTTCTCTGTAATGTACTCACTCATTCACTCATTTTGGCCACCTCCTTGTAGTCTGAACAAGAGGATCTCATTAGCACTTACTGGAGAAATAAGACCAGAATATCTTTTTAAGCTTTTTTTTTTTTACATTTTCCTGTTTTCTGCGTTAAGAATTCAGACATCAGATTTCTCCTATGTAGCTCTTGGTTGTTTGGTTTTTTTTTGGTTTGTTTTTTTTACCACAGTGTACCCTTTCATTTCTTTTTTATGCACACAGTGACCACACACATTAGATTGGTTTTTATTTATATTTTTTATTTACATTTTTAATTTTTTGCTGGATTGGACATCGGGCCTCTTGTTTTGCTGCTGTGTGGTATAAATGTTAGATCCTCTTTTCGAGTCACAGAATCCAGTAGTCAATCTACAGAACATCAACACAGCCTGCATTATCTGAAACTCTTTAAGCCTTGTGATTTTCCTGAATTTGTTAAAAATTGACATAAGAGACCAAAGATCTGTTCAGAGAATTGTAGCAGAACTCTAGGGTGCAAGTACATAAGTTTAAATCAGATTTTAACCTTCCAGGTTTCAGAGCATTGTGTAATACCACCTAACCATTAACAAACTGAAAAATTCTTTACTCATAAGATCTGAGCAGATCAGACTCCTTCTCTCCAAATATTTAACCTCCAAAATACTTATGAATCTATTTAATTTTTCTTTATCTTCATAAACAATTCCTCAATCTCCTTTAGTAATTGACTTTGGGTTTCTTTTCCTAATAATGTGTTTAGAAAATTGTTACTTATTTTTCTTCTGCCTAGCTATGGATTTTTCCCTAAAGTGTTCATCAATATAGTTACTGCTCACAATTTCTACTCCACATCAATATTTGTTTAATCCTTTTTCCACTTTATTATAGTTTTGATTTCTGATTATTTTTCCATTTCCTTGTCAGATAGTTTTTCATTTCACCACTGGATTCACTGCACTAGATTTTAAGTACAGCAGCTCTTTCTTTTCAGTTCAAGAGTTGTGATACTTTTCCACGTTTTATTGCAGCTAAAGAGCTCCCTGTTTTCATTCAGCTTTGTCCACCCTTTTCTTTGGCATGCCACTTGTGATAGCAATACAAAACAAGCTGTGTGATTTCAAAGTGTAGATAGGTGGAAGCAAAAAGATATGGAAAGCACTTTACAGTTTCAAAGTCCAGTGGCCAACTGCAGATAATAGTTATGGAGGAGAAAGTATTTAAAGGAAGACCTGGCAGGAAAAGATAGAGGACAGCGTGAGACAACACAGTAATGCTACCAGAAGTCCTCCTGACACATATCCTTAGCTGTTCAGAACAGTTCAGCTGGAACGTAGGAGAAGGAGACATTTCCATGCAGATTTAGCTGTTATTGTTCACTAATCATGTTTCTATGCAGATAATCTGGGAGAAGCAACTGATTTTGTTCTAATTTTAATGCTTTGGATAGGAACTTCAGATGTCTTGACCTCTGGTTTCTTGAAATAGTATTCCTCCAGGGTGATAGTATCATTCAAAATCACTGAGCAGCTCCAAACAGCTGCCATCTTAAAAAAAAAATCAAAAAGACATCTCACACACTAAATATGAAACCTTTGCCCAAACCTCACCAGATTACTCAATGGCTCTAGTATTTTATCAGTGTCCTGCAATACATCAATATGCAGCAGTTTTATATATATCCATCAAGATACAGCAGTTTTATATATATTTTAAAAGAGGCAACAAAGAAGCCTTCCTCACTAAACAGTCTGCTTGTTTGAATTTTTCCTTTGAGATTTTGTATTTCATAGTCTCCACCCTCCTCCAGAATCTGAAAGCAGGCATTTTCTGTTTTATGCTGAAACTCAGGAGTCTTAAATATCTCTTCAGCTGCTTCCTAATATTTGTTCCACAGGAAGGGTGTTAGTTCACAGCACAGCGTGCTTTGTTATATCTGCATCAGCAAAGCAGATAATCTCAGCCTCTCTTCATCTGGAAAAGGTGCAGAGGAAGAGCACTAGCAGACAGTTTGTAGTTAAGGATTACTGTGAAGTTCTCGAGGTAGGAGACAACAGTCAGGTAAGCAGAAAAGGTCCCATGCTATTCTATGTTCCTGTGCTGTCACTTTCTTCACAAAATGCTTGACTGTGTGTAAGCACTTTCTCTGAAGGTTTTGGCTCCCAGTGAGTCAATATTTCTCATAGAGAATGCAAGTCCTCTTAAATTCCATTATTATTCTTTTTTAGCACTTAGCATCTCTTTGAAATGCTTCTTTTGGGTATGTTAACATGCATTCAAGCAGCTGATAGTCCCTTCTCACAGAAGGAATGGCCCATCCCAGCAGTTTTGCCTGACATGCTTGGGCAGGCATTGTGTTGAAGGACCCAGCGGGGCTTTTTGCTGAAAGTCTGATGCTCTTTGAAATTTGGCTACCTATATATTTTGCTTAAATTTCAATTTGATCGAAAGAGATCTTCTCCTTGCAGAGGGCATGCTTCTCTGAGTCTCTGTGCACTTTTGGATTTGGTAGATGCCACCTTGGGGTTCAGAGAAGCAGAAGGCATTTCCCAAATTGAAAGACATCATTTATAGTTCCTTGGGACTCTTCCTGGACTGTCCTACATTAGCAATAAATACAATGCATGTAGTAATAAAAATGATGGCAGTGGATCAAAAGTATCTGCAAAGCTTCTTCTGTGAGCATCCCATGAGCGCTCTCTCCTCTGCACTCACACTTCTTTTAGCAACTTTGCTCAGAACTGAGCTTTTGGCACAGTCATTGATACACTGCTTTGTGAAGTTGTAAATTATCAACTAAAAGTGTGGCAATACAGAATTAAAAGCTTGTTCATCAGAGATCTTCTTTGTTAGTGTATGGCACTGAAGCAAATTGTGCTCTGACAGGAGCGCTTGTGCTTTTTCCGTGTCACGGGGGAAGTGAAATCCGTGCCAGGCAATGCCATGTATCAAGCCCAGGAAGTTGCAGGAATTAACAAGAATAACTTCTTTCATAGTTAAGATCCCAGAGACTTTACAAAATCCCTGCAGCATGGTATTTAAATGAGATACTGCAAGAGTGCCAAATAGAAGTGGACCTGCTCCACTAATGAGGGCGCGTTGTGCCAGCTCTTTACAAAGAATTGTGTGTTTCCATCCACGTCGAACCAGCTCTATGGATAGATGTGGAAGGAGAAGGCAGAGAGACTTTGGCACAGTTCATTCGTTTCTACTCACCTTCATCTCATAAAGACTGTGGATCATGTTAGGTCTAATCCTGAAAAATACAAATGTTTTATGTGAGAATTGGATTGCCCCAGGGGGAAAAAACTACTATTCAGATTCTAACCACAGGCCCAAAACATAACATAATCTCAGATTACACTGTTGTTTAACAGCAATAATATTATTGACAGGAAAACTGTGACCTTCAGTAGGTTTGGAAGTTAAAAAACTGATTGTGATAGTGATATTTTAGGACTACTGAAGTACGACTTCAGGGTATTTGTATGCAGATTCAGACTGCTACAGTGTACTGAGAGCATCCATTTGGGGGTTTCCTGCTTATAAGACAGGAAATTTTTTTACCTCTAATAGCATTTTATTTTTCCTACTATTAGTCCTTTTCAGAAGTACTTTATCTGGTAATTTAATGAATCATTACATACATCTCTGTGTTTAAATTACATTCCCATACAACCAGCATCCATCAGTGTTGATGAGAATTCAACAGTGCGTGCTGTACCTTAGGAAGAGCTGGCATCTCACATTCTCATTAGGAAAAATGTATCTAGAAATTATAAGTGCTTTTTCTACAGCACATCTCCATATGACTTATTTGCTTCCTGGTTGTCTTCAAAAGCAGCTGAAAGCCTCTATGCACCTGTTTTTCCCTGGTACTTACATCAACTTCTGTATGAGAAAGGAGGGAATAAATGTTAAATTGAAGATATTTGTTTTATTTATGATTGCAAGTATTCTTTGCTTGAAAAAGTTCCAGAGTCTTTCATCTTCCGTGCTAAGTGGAGAGACAAAGAAAGCATTCATAGACAGGGCGCATGTCACATGGGGCAGTCTAATGGCATTAGAACAGTTCAGTGAAGCATTAATGAATTTACAGTGATGACAGCTCAACAGTGCTAGGGTTTAATCTACTCTGTGGTAAGTGGTTTTCAGAAGTACCCTCAAATACAAATAACCAGTCAGGACTTTTGTTCTTTTGTTTTCTGATAAACATAATCAGGTATTTTTCTTTTGAAGTAGTCAATTTCTTGCTTGCTGTGTACCTGATCTTTCCACAGCTCATGTCATACCTCAAACTGTTCTCAGCATGCTCAGATGAGACTTGAGCTATTCCAAGCACCTACTATTTAAAATATTTTTTCTGTTCTGCCGATAGTTTACTGTACTCCATACCACTAGCCTCAACAGCTTCTTGGAATTAAGATTCCCCACAAAAAAACCCTTGCACAGAAAAATGTGTTGTATGATCTTGTCTATAATGCCATACTTTTATTCCAGCTCTGTATTCACACAACTTTCTTTTCACCATCATACTTCCTTTCTGTCTCATATCCATGTGCCTATTCTTGTATTTGGATGAGGTGGACATGTAAGGTGTTAAATCAGATAACAGTGGTTTTCAGCAAGTTCAAGAAGACCAAGTGTGAGGTCCTGCACTTTGGCCCACAACAGCCCTATGCAATTATACAGGCTTGGGGCAGAGTGGCTGGAAGACTTTGTAGAGGGAAAGGACCTAGGGGTGCTGGTCAGTTCTCAGCTAAACATGAGCCAGCAGTGTGCCCAGGTGACCAAGAAGGCCAACAGCATCCTGGCTTGTATCAGGAATAGCTTTGCCAGCAGGAGCAGGGAAGTAATTGTCCCCCTGTACTCAGTTCTGGCAAGACTGCACCCTGAGTACTGTTTTTTTTGGGCCCCTCACTGCAAGAAAGACATTGAGGCCCTGGAGCACTTCCAGAGAAGGGTAAAGAAGCTGTGAAGGGTCTGGAGCACAAGTATGATGGGGAGCGGCAGAGGGAACTGGGATTGTTTAGTCTGGAGAAGAGAAGGCTCAGGGGAGACCTTATCACTCTCTACAACCCCCTGAAAGGAGGTTGTGATGAGGTGGGGATTGGTCTCTTCTCCCGCATAACTAGTGATAGAGCGAGAGCTAATGGCCTCCAGTTGCAACAGAGGAGGTTCAGTTTGGATGCTGTGAACCATTTATTCTCAATAAGAGTGGTGAGGCACTGGAACGGGCAGCACAGGGATGTGGTGGAGTCACCATCCATGGAGATGTTCAAAAAACATGGATTTGGTACCAACAGACATAGTTTAGTGGCGGGTGAATGGTTGGACTAGATAATCTTAGAGGTCTTTTCCAACCTTGATGATTCTATCATTCTATAATTCATGAGTCCAGGACAAGATGTGAGTGCTTGCTGTTTACAAGAGATCTTATCCTGCCTCACTGTCATTGCAAAGGCTGTCACTGATTTAAATGAGCATGGTGACACAGCAATTTCTGCTGTCCATTTCCAAAATATGAGAAAGGAATGTGTTGGCCTAGAGAACAAAAATTTATGTGGAATCCTCTCCCCTAAGAATGGTCATTCGTTAGTATCTACAGGTCTATCCACAAATTAGTAATTTCATGTAGAGGCCCCCTCATAAGGAGCACTGTGAGTTCTGCTCTTGAAGCAAAGCATAGTACTTCCAGTATTTCATAAATGCCTGTGTTCTTCAATACATCCCATGACATTTCTGCGAAGAAATAGGTGTTCTTCCAAATGCTGTAAAGATAAATACTCTAAATCACATTCTCCCTTCTAAGAAAAACAAGTAACTATATTGGAAACAGGCAAGGAACATAAAGGAGAGAAAAACTGTCTGTCTCTGTAAGTTTCCTGGGATCTGCCAAATCTCACTGAAGCTGGACTTCATTTATTGAGATGAAGGCGTGTTGGAGTGGAAAAGATGACAATCAGAAGTGGAGATATACTGCAGTCTGTGTCATTCTTGCAGTGTGGGTAAATACAATTAAGCTAGACTTGCATTAGTTTTCTCCAGTACTAATACCAGAGAAAATAAGCAGTGCAGGGTACAGTGCAGACTAGCTAATTGCATAAATACTCAGAGATCTGGAAAGATTGGTACAGGGCAGCAAAAGCCTTTGCGATCAGTACCCAAGTCAGCAAGATCAAAGTAACATTCATAGCAGCAAGAGTTCGTTAACACATCAGTAAGATCTATAATTGCACGCCAAATGCGCTTATAGCAGCTTTGTTACTCAAAGAAAATGTGCTCTTAGGACACTGGCATGAGACAAACCACAGAAGCAAGGCAGAAGTGCATCCACAGAGATTTATGTACTCCCCAGACTGCTTGCTGATTGATTTCAGTGGGACTTCTCATGTCAGCAGAGACTGTGGGGAGAAGACAAATCTTTCCTTTTTCCATCAGAAATGCTTTGAAAATCAACAATAGAAAGAAAAAAAATCATATAGGATTGATTGCCTTCATTAGCTTCATTTCCTCATTTCAGTAATATTATTAGCTATAAATCACAGAAGCACAGTTTCATATGTTCTTATTAATATCACAACTTCCTCATCCCCTCATCGCTTATCAGATTCATTCATTGTACGCTGGAAATCCCAATAAAATTACCTAACTGGAGACCTTATGGCACAGCTGTATCTTTCCGTATTCCCTGCTTCTGTTTGTTTGTTTTCATCTTACTGTCTTTTGTTAATTCTTTTGTTGTCAAATTGCATTGCAGAGTATGGAATGCTTTTCTGCTCCTTACCATTTCTCATACATTAAAAATGCATTAGGGAAGATATCAACTACCTCAATTTCCTTTAAAATGTTTTCTTTCCCTCATAGCCACTGAAAATAAAACTCATGAATGCGTTAATTCTAAACAGAGTAGGTAATGTTTTCTCATTTAATAAAAATGCAGGCCAAAACTTACTATTGAAGTATGATGTAAAAATTAAAAGAATAGTTTGCTTTGTGCGCTTGATATTCAAAATAATTCACTGGTGATAATAATCATAACAATAATAGGCAGCTGAAGTAAAAATGAAATGACCTTGCCTATTTCAAACCTGGGAAGAAAACGAGTTTTCCTGGACAACCGAAAACAGCTTTCAGAAGCAGTTTGTCTCTGTGGAATTGGTGCAGATGTCGTGCTGTTACATATTCCTTCTGTTCAGTACCTAGCACACTGGGGGAGATAATTTTTTCACATGTATTCCCAGCCCTGCTCTATTCCCTTCGAGCTTTGCAGGATCAGCACAAAAGGTCTAGAAAGTAGGCTGGAAAAATCAGCATCAGGTTCTCCTTGAGAGAAGGGCTCCTGAACTGCTGCAGTGCCAGCAAAACCAGCTGCCTGCCACTAGCAGCTCATTTCTCCTCTCCAGTGCTCTGGACCAAGGTTATGGTCTCACCTGTGTACCTCACAGTAGGGCAGCCTAGCCCTTCAGGTGTGCAGCTTGTGAGAAGTGTCGAAACATCTGCTATCTGCCTCGGAATCAGGTGATAAAAGACCTTTGATATCTTTCTGTTTGGATGTCAGGAGTCTGTGTGCACCTGCAACCTGAAGACTTACATGGGAATTCTTGATAACTTATTAACAATAGGAGACTGTGATTAGGTATGTTACTATAACATGGGGCTTTATTCAGAGGCAGCTCTTTATAAAAATTACATAAGCAATGATTCCACAGAGTAGTTGATGTTGGAAAGGACTTCTGGAAGTCACCTGGTCCAATTCCTCCTGAAGCAAGGACACCCAGAGCAAGGTGCCCAGGCCCATGTCCAGGCAGCTTATGAAGATTTCTGAGGAGGAAACTATAGCGTCTCTGGGTAAACTGTGCCGGTGCTCCATCACCCACACAACAGAGAAGTGCTACCTTGTATTCAGAGGTAAACTCCCGTGTTTCAGTTTGTACCCATTGCCTCTTGTCCTGGTGCTGGGCACCACCAAAAACAGCGTGGCTCCATCACCTTCACACCCTGCCTTCAGGCATTTATAGGTATTGCTGATTTCCCATGGATCTTCCTCTGGAGCAGGCCGAGCAGTGCCAGCTCTCAGCCACTCCTCACAGCAGAGGTTCTCCAGTTCTTTCATCATCTTCATGGCCCTTCACTAGACACTGTCCAGATCTCTCATGTACTGGCGACCCCAGAAGTGGACACAATGCTCCACATGCTCACTAGTACTGAGGGGAAGGATAATTTCCCTCAGCCTTCTAGAAATACTCCTCTTAGTGCAATCAGGAGACTGTTGGCCTTCTCTGTTGCATATGTGTATTTCTGGGTCATATTCAACTTTTTGGTGTAGTAGCATTTTGTCTTTCACAAGGTCCGTCTGAGTAATTGAGATGTTAAACAATAACATCCTCACTGTTCATACCACTGCATATCTGTGGTGAGTGGCCACTTTGTTATGTGGTCAGAATCCTTTCAAACCAGCAATTAGGCTAATTTTCAGTCCAGGGCTGTATTTAATCAATTTGACAGTGTCAAAAACCTTACTAAAGATAAATATTCACTGCTTTCCCTTCATGCACTAGACTAGTCCTTTCTTCATAGGCAGCTACCGGCTTTGTCAAGAATGATTTTTCCTTCCCAGACCTGTGCTGACTACTCCTACTCTTTGCTTTTCATTATTTTTGCAAATGGTACCCAGGATTTTTTCCTCTATTCCCTCTCAGAGCCTGAGATGAGGCTGACTGGCCTTCCAACTTGAAGAAAGGAGCAACATTTGCTTTTTTCAGTCCTCAGGAACCTTCATACTGTATTGATGTTTCAGGGATTGTTGAGTGGCCTCGTGGTGACTACAACCAGATCTCTCAGTACTTATGGTTGCATTCCATAATGTCACACAGACGTCACTGTGTGTGCAGGTTTTTAAAGTCTTCCCTGACCTGATCCTCCAACAATGCTAACTTTTCCTTGTTTGAGATGTTTCTGTGAGTCAGAAACCTGGGATTCCTGAAAGTTGGTCTTACCATTAAAAGACAAAGAGAAAAGGGTACTGAGTAGACTGGCCTTTGCCATATTCTCTGTCACCAGGTGCCCTGCACCGTTCAGCAGCAACTAGAATCAGCAGTTTCTAGTCTCTCCTTTGTTGCTGACATGTCCTTAGAAATGTCTAACTGCCTTTCACATCTTCTCCAGATTATATTCCTGGTGGGCTTTGGCTTTCCTCACCTACTCCCTGCATGATTAGGCAGTGTCTATTCCCATATCACCTGACCCTATCTCCACCTCATGAATATTTATGTCGTTGAGTTTTGCCAGGAGCTTCTTGCTTATTCATGCAGGCCTCCTGCCTCGTCTCCTTGACTTCTTACACGTGGGAATGGACCAGTCTTGAGTTTGGAGGAGGCAGTCCTTGAAAATCAGCCAGCTCTCCTGGACTCCTCCTCTCTCCAAGATGATATCCCATGGGATTGCAACTGCCCTTCTGTGTTGTCCCTCCTGCAGATATCAGCATTGTCAGAGTCTTCCATGAGGACCAGGGCCAGTAAACAAGACATTTTTTCCAGTCGTCCAGCAGAGGCCTGATGATCTGCTGCTTCTTTTTTATCACACAGTCCATAGCAGATACCCACACCAATGTCACCCGCGGTGGTCTGCCAGCCAGCCTAGACCCATACGCTCTCATCTGGGTCATGGCAGAGCTCCATGCATCCCTGCTTCTCTCTAATACAGGACAACTGTCCCTGCTCGTCATCCCAGGCTATCCTTCCCAAAAAGCCTGTACAAAGCCACTGCAGCACTCTAGTCATGTGAGTGTGATTTGCCATTACTTTGAGATTTCTAAAAATCCTCGCTTCATCCACTGAAGAATTCGAAGGTGAGTGGTTTTCTTTTTTCATTTCCCTTTCAAACTGCACTGGCAATGAACAGAAAATCCATTTCTCAGTACCATTGCAAAATGCATGTGTTATGGTCAAATATGTCCTGTGGTGCTGTTAGTTTTGCAACAAAGAAATGTTTCTATCAGGTGGTTCTTATCAACAAAATTAAATAGAAATGATAAATGGATTACTAATATTTTTCTGTGAGCCAGTTTTTAAATGGGTCACATTGTTCTTCTCTTTACTAGCAACCTAAAATAGAAGTTATTATATCAACAGCGGTTTTCACATAATAGAACGCTATCTGAAATTGAGTTTATGTAATGTTTTTCCTTGAAAATTCAGGCTATAGTAGTATACTTATTGTAAATTATCATCATTTACTTTTTATTTTCTATTTAAGAGCAATATTCTTTACAGTAAAAATTGCAGTTGGAGTTCCGACTAAAGAAAACGATCCCTTGGTACAGACAATAAGGAAAATGAATGCTTATGTTGACAGCACAGCATTATCAAGGTTTCTTTTCCCTCTGTGGGCCAAATTTTCTGCTAGCATATTTGATATAATTCTATAGGCTTCAGTGGGACTGCACCAATTTATGTAACGGAGAATACAGGACCCTTTTTTTATTATTATTATTTAGATTGAACTAAGTAAAAAATAAGGATGGAATCTAAGTAAAAGCCTGGCCAGCATTTTCTTTTAGAAATCTTAGATTTATGAGGCTATTTCTGAAAATCAAACTATGGTTCATTTCTCCCTGGAGTATCCTGCAGATGTGCAGCTGCTCTTCAGCATCAAGGAAAATATGAGCCTCACGCAGCCAGGCACAGATGGCCCACCCAGTGCACGCAGGGCCAGCCAAGTGCCACCAGCACCTCAGAAGGGGTGGAATGCTGAGGAAAATGGAAATTCAGATGTGTGCAGTCGTTCAGTACAGCTCAGATTTGTGTGTCACCCCAGCACTGGTAAAGACAGTCTCACAGTGCCGCATGCAGCTGCAGAGGACTGCTGTTCTGAAAACAGATTTCCTTAGTCTTATGAAGCCAGCTTCCACTCCTGCTCAGCTCTCTGTTCAGGATCAGGGGGCATTCGAGGGTTCTGCTTCAGTGGCTTGCATTAAAATAGGGTTAGGGTGGTCAAAATCATTTGCAACCTTTAAGTACACAGTAAAGGAAAATAAAGAGGTTTTTCCACCACCTGCTGATTGGAAACTAAGTGCAGGAGAGAACAGAGTATAATACAAGGTACCAAATATGCCTCGTGCTGTGCACTGAACTCTTCAGGGATTTCCTCAGAGAGGTGAACTTGCACAGAGATCGGTGAAAACCTGCACCTTCAATCTGTTTCCTATTAAAAAAAATACCTCTGAGTCTCTCCAGTGTGCAAGTCAGAGCTATCTGAAAGTCATGGGGAAATGAAGAGCTGAAAGGCTAAGAGTCTCATGCTTCTTTTTCTTTTTATATACTCTGTATTCCCAGAGATCCTATGGGAAGCATAGGGCTTCAGCACAGGGACAGCCAGAAAGATTCAGGGCTTTTAAATTAGTAGCTTGTTTAAATCCCAAGGCAAAGCAGTTGTGCTAAATTAATCTCTGAAGCCTCACGTGAAATCTAGAGCCCCTGAGTGGTGCAGATATTTTGAGGTGATCTAATTGTGCTTGGAGAGAAGGGAGAGATGGGCACAAGCAATGCTGTGCTCTGCGCTGCAGTTGGCTCAGCACACAACTCATTGCAAAAAGCTGGCATGGGCAACACAGCCAGGACACCAGGGATCAAATATATCCATGCATCTATGAAAATTAGTTGCTGCACTCTCCATAGGATAGCAGGCTTGAAAAGCATACTAGGAAACTGAGGACAATGTGCACAGCAATTTCAAGAGCTCCTGGAAGTGTTGTAGGGATGGAAAAGAGCAGGAAAGGTTGCTGCTGCCAATGAATAGCTTGTCTTGTATGGCAGCTGCCTCTCATGGAAGTTTTTTCAGTTTTTAAGTGGGAATCTGAGGCACTCTAGTTTCATTTTATGAAACTCAGTCAGGGTCCATTCGAGGGAAGCAGTGCAAGAACCCTTACCAAAGCACAGGCTAAGGCTGGGCAGCAGCAAGCAAAAGCATCATTGGGGTAATACAGCATCTCTTCATGCATCTGACGCTGAAGAACAATGTAGGGGAGGAGTACTGTGTCTGTCTTCATCCCCTGCCAACCTAATGCAAGCACTAAGAGTGTGAATTCTCAGGGTATTGTGAATTTAATGACTGTAAGAAAACAAGAAAGGAGTAGAGAAGACTTCCAACTTGTTGCTGGCAAATCTGAGTATTGCAATATGTTGGTATATTCACCTTCACCGGGTGAATGGCGCTGATACACCAGGGAGGACTTTCTCATAAAATTCCTAAGATTACACTTCTGTTTTTATCTATTTGCATAAATGAAGGAAACATTTTTAAGCGCCGTGCTTAATCCAGAAAAGTAAATGAATAAGCATTTTGTTTGAGACTCCTTCAAGATGAGATTGATCATTGTCCCATTGCCACAGGTCAACTTTTGCCATGGAAAACTCCAGATAATCTTCAGCTGCATTTCCTAAACAATTAACAGGATGGACAAAGCAAAGATAACAATGCACACTTTATTTTCCAAAAGCAGTTGTCAGAAGGAAATGAATACCAAGTGAGTTAACTCATTAGAGCATGAGAGCACACTTGGAAATGCGAAACAGATTGTCTGGAATGATTTCAATCTAGCACAAGGTTGATACCCTTGTTGAGGCATGCCAGTGTTGTAGTGCTTCAGTTTCAGAAGTGTTCATGGGTGCACATTCTGGGTTTTGAGCCTTGAAGTAATTAATTACATGACTAAAACACCACATATAGGAGCTACGTACACGTGTATTAACCGCAAGGGCTACGTCCACATGCATGGACACACATACAAACACCACACACGTTGACATAACAGCACTTTACAATACAAACAAAAAATGCAATTTCCTTGCTGATGTTAACTGATAAAAGCAACAGGCATGTTGTATTCACGTTAGATACATTCTGTCTTTAAGAAGCTGCGTCTGTATCCAGTGTAAAAACACAGCAGTCATCCGAAGGCAACAAGGTTCCTCTCATGCCTGGTTTGTAGAATCATAGAATGGTTTGGGTTGGAAGAGACCTTTAAGATCACCTAGTTCCAGCCACCTGCTATAGGAACACCTCCTCTAGACCACGTTGCTCACAGCTCCATCCAGCCTGGCCTTGAATACTTCCAGGAAGGGGGCATCCACCACCCCAACTGGGCAACCCGCTCCTGTGTCTCACCACCCTTGCTGTAAAGAATTTCTTCTTGATATCTAGTCTAAATCTACTTTCTTCCAGTTTAAAGCCATTTCCCTTTGTCCTGTTGCTATGTGCCCAAGTCCCTCCCCAGCCTTCCAGTAGGCTCCTTTCAGGTATTGAAAAGCTGCTAAAAGGTCCCCCAGGAGCCTTCTCTTCTCCAGGCTGAAGAGCCACAACTCTCTCAGTCTATCATATGACCAAGAGCAAACTTCTCAGAAATTGGATTTTAACATTTGTCAACCGCAAGCTCTCAACAAAGCCTACTTTCCCCTAGTAAACTTCCACCTATCTCTCTTTCAAAGTTAAAGGATTGTACTTCTGTGAAGACTGTGGAACTTTATTTAGCATACCAGATACCACTGCAGCACTGCTAAAGTAATACAGATATTTATAGGTGTCATTAATAGGGTATACTTAAGAGCTTTGCTTCTTTTTTATCCATAATGGGACAATAAGCTACAATTAAAGGACTTAGGGTCTATACTACAGAAACATTTCCCGTCACATGTGTAACACAACATACACTATGCAGAGACAGCAGGCAGCCAAAGCAGTTCAGGGTATTTCTTCACACAGATGGCAAAGGTGCAATAATACTTCTCATAAACATACTAAACATAAGCAATTCAAGCAGCACTATGTAACATATGCTTGTCTGAAAGGAAGATGAAAAAGGCAGGAGGAAAGCTTAATTCATCCTCTGTACCGCCCATCATTTTTACCTCATTTACCTCATAGATAACACAACATGCATAGCAGGGGCTATGAAGCCTGCATATGTTGAGAAAGGGTGGCCTTCATCAGCACTGTTTGCTGCACAGTGTGTGCTCTCAGATGGCTGAGATGGAAGGTTGCTGCCACAGACTGCACAGCATCTCTGCCTGCATCCAGGCTATGCTAACTCTCAGTTGGCCGGAGTTATGAGGAGAAGTTAAATGTTTTCGTGTGAAGCCTGTATTTATCCTGGTGGCACAAAAAGAAGAATCCAGTTAAAATCAAATTATGTAGCTTCCTTCTCCAGGAGGAAATTGTTACTGCGCAATATGGACTAAAATAAAAGTCCATGAATCAGTGATCTAATTTCATTTTGCAAAGAATGTATGCCCAACACTATATAATGATGGTCATAATGAGAGCATGTGAAAATTTACAATGTATAACAGTGTACAGTGTCTTTATCGAAATCTTGTTCGTTTTCATGAGAACTGTGGTTATATGAACTGGCTAAGCACAAAGCAGACTTTTCTCATCTCAGAAATATCAGCTGTACTGGAAGGAGGTAAAAGAGCAGATCAGTTCAAGAGACCATGTCTGCACTTGTCCTGTCTGCAATATTCCGTATCTATCTTACATTGTGGGAGTTATCCAGATGACACTGCCATCTTAATCCTAAATTCACATATTTTACACATGTATTTTTTCATTGGAACATGTTAATAATTATAATTATTTTATGTTCTTGGTTTATGAAACCAAGAAACATCAAATAAACACGGTAACAATTATCGGTGCTTTATTCCTGCTTTTGTTGGATCTCTGAGAGTCACTTGACAACCCAGATGAGGGCTACTCCTGCAATGTTTGAAGAACCAGTTCAGCCATGGGTTGATGTCAGCCACGCTAATCAAAGCTCTTTCACTTGATAACTGTGTTCATATGTTGCACTGCACCACTGAGACTTGTGTGGGCAAGCTCCACAGGACACATAGCCCATTTGACATCAGCTTTATTTTCTAGACAATTCATTTGAAGGTATTAACTCAAGCTCTGATGTCACTCTGACTTCTCAAAATCAGATTCACTCATTCATAAACCCAGATTTCCCCCTTCCTCATAAGAGGCACAGCACACTGCTTTGCCCATTTTGGAGCAGACAACTTGAAGCAAATTTTCATCATGCTGTTCAGTTTCACATCACTGTAGCCTCACAAAGGAGAGCACAGAAGCAGGATGAACACACCTGGAGATCCTGCTTCATTTAACAAGAGCCTGAACCCTCCTGAACCCCAGCCCTCTGAGCAGCAGGCTGTGCACCGTGATCTGTGCAAGCGTGCATGCACAGGTAGGGAAGGAGAAGGTGTTGAAATCTGCTCTGAGCCAAAGCCAGGAATCCAGGATTCATGGGGCCAGGCAGATACTTACCCAAGTTGGTTGTGTAATCTGCTGGGTAATCCACAGCCCTGTGAAGCAGAGGGCACTGAAATGAATTCCCCATCTTCTCCTCAGCTTTATGTTTTAAATGGAGCTGAAGCTGCCATGCTCCATACTGGGTTTCTTACTGCCTAAGAATCAGGCAGCTTGGGCACCACAAACTGTTAATTTGTGTAAAAGCGGTACAGCCTTCTGGGATCATGACTTCAAAATATCCAGCTGCAGCAAAATGTGCCTTAAATCACATGCTGTAGCAGAACCTTACACACTTGAAGCTTTTACTGGCATATTTAAGGCCCCATAGCAGTCTGGGTTATTACTCTTGGACATAGATGTTGCGTATCTGTTGTGCTGTGGATGGCTTCGTGTTATTTTGGATCTCATCTTAGGCACCTATAACTAATCAAACCTCTGCTGTTAACTCCTGCAGTACCCTGGCACTTCAGGTTTTCTACTGAGTTGTGCAGAGAGTTGCAGTTGTGATGTCATATGGTCACAACTCTTCTTTTCCTTCAGTATTTGGCTTTACTGTGATAATGACTGTTCACCACAGGAGGTGTTGAAAATCACTTTTTTAAGCTGTACTGGCCACTCTCCTATAACAGGATTTGCCACATCCATACTCACATACGCATGCAAACACAAATACACTTAAGCTTTTTTATTGCGCATTAAAAGGCTTTAGGCAAGCCCCCAGGCCACAGCATTTTGGAAATCAAAGACATAGGTGTTTGGTGGAGGCCATCTTGCAAATTCTTGTAGAAGAGATGTGCTATCCCAGTTCAAGGTGAGCTCCTTGCAACTTGCCAGCTCTGCTTACAGAGTCCAAATCATGCACATCCTCCTCCTTTCTTTTGTTCTGGCCTAAAGCAGCTCTCTGAGATCAACCTCATTCATGCAAACATCCCAAAGAGAAATGCTAGGTTTAGCTGACAGATGCATAAAGTCTCTGTTGTCATAGAACTCCGCAGTGTCTGTTCTGCACCAGATGTCAAAGAATGCAAATCTGCAGCCGGCTCTGGTGTTCTCCAAATTTCCTCCTTCACAGCTGTTGTTTTCCACATCCACGTACATGGAGCCAAATTTTCAGAAGCAGGAGCAGACCCCAGATCCTTATATTGATGTGAATACACGTTTGTTTATTTGCTTGGAAAACGTCTGTTTGAGTTAAACAGCAGTGTGTTGGTGAGTGTATATTTGAGCATGCTCAGCCTCCAGTGTTGGAAGCTGCCATGCTCTTCTTTAAACGTAATCTCTTTTCAAAAAGGTGCTCTGGAACTGCTGTTGTCTCTGAATTTCTCTTTGCAGTTAAATAGGACTCCCACTGTGCTGAGCCCTCTTGGGCACTGCGGAAATAAGAATCATAACCATAGTAATAAAAAACAAAAGATGTGTAATCGTGAGGAAGTATGGAGCAGCATTTCTTCAGTTTACTGTGGGGCCTTTGCTGGCCACCCCAGAAACCCCTCAGGAAGGGAAGCTGTAGCCTGGAGCTGTAATTACGGCTAAAATTTTATTCTTCCTTGCGTAAATATTACCTGCACGGCTTTTTAAATGTAGTCAGTGAGAGCCACTAAAATTATATATCTGCAAGAACTGAACCGAGGTGAAATTTTTCTTTCTATTTAAACAGGGGAAAATACCTAAAATGGGGAGGTAAGGATGATAGCAGCACCCACATTTGTTCTCCTGGGCTTCCTTTAAATGAGTTTTGCCTCCAGTGGCCTGAAGTGTTATTTAGATTTCATTTCCTTAAATAAAGACAGTATGCCAATAGAGGCCTTTCCTCCCCCCCACCTATGTAATGAGCTTCAAACCACTGAGTCCTCAGTTGGGGAAATAATAATTATAAACGTACCATATGTTTGTTTACGTGAACTTCGAATTTTCAGCCCAGTCACTAACCTATACTTGAGCAAGTTTGTCCATCCTAGCATTGAGACACCCGACTGTGTTCAAAAGGGATGAGGTTTCACAAAATCACAGAATCATGGAGAGGCTGCAGCTGGCAGGGACCTCTGGGTCCATCCAGCCTAACGCCAAGAGCAGGGTGTGCAGGGCCATATCCAGACAGCTTGTAAAGGTCTCCAAGGAGGACACTCTACACCCTCTCTGGGCAGCCTGTGCCCATGTAGAAGAAGCATTTACTGATGTTCGGAGAGAACCTCCTCTGTTCTATTTGGTGCCCGTTGCCTGTGGTACCCCATGAACAGAACCTGGCTCCATCACTTTTGGATCCTCTCTTTTTATGTGATGAGAGGAGAAGTACTCAAATCACAGGTATGAGTTTGAATGAAGTCCAGTTGGGACATCGAATATAAATACCTGATTTTTAAGGAGCGTATAGCACATACTCTCTGTACCGGTGCAGCAATGGCAATGAAAATGTTAAATGTTAAATGCACTTTTGGGCAGTCTAGTAGTATTCATTTGCTATTGTTATTACATGCATATCCATACTATCCAGTTTTCAACATAGACAATAGTATCAACTTAGAAAAGCAGTGATTTAAGATAAAGGAATAAGCGATATCTGTTGATTTTACAATAAGCAAGGGCAGAATATTCACCTATCAGACGAGATGAAAGGAGGGAGAAGAGTTTAAAAAACTTTCTTTGAAGTGATGTGACCCGGCACAAATAGCCTTGGTGACATTGTAAGAGCAAACAACTCCACCATTAACTACAGGTACTTCATGTCATTGAAGAAACCTGTCACAGGTTCAACTCGATCTGCCCAAGCAAATGAGCTGGCACCTGGGGTGGTGGAGCTTGCATTTAATTCTGAGCTTCTGAAGGTAATCCTGGGTATTCTTGTAAGTATCACCAGGTTGTATGTACTTATATATTTGACTTCAAATGACATTCCTGTGATAATATCCTAATGAAGTGTTTTGTACAGTAATTAGAAATGTTTCTACTGAGTTACATTTTCAGGCTAGCAACTCTTTTCCTGAAAGAACAGAAGGGAATTACTGCTAAGGCAAATATAAATATTTCTGAAATTGATAAAGAAATACAAGTTCAGATGTTTAATAAGCTATCAAGGGATGACATTTAGAAATGAGATCTTGTAAAAGGAACGTTAAAAATATTGAACAAATATTGAAAAAATGATCAGTGCTGAAAAAGGTACAGAAGCCAGGCAGATTTTCAGATTGTCTGCACCACCAAAACCACACTGAACATGAGACTACAGGAAGTTGAGTCCCATGGTGTGAAAAGTCAGCAGGAAACAAAGCGCTAATTGTGCCCAAAGTAAAGCACGAGAGGTAATTTAAAGACCAACCTCTGCTTGTGTTTGGATTTTTGGGGGGAAAAAGTCCTTCTAAACAAGCAGGGAGATAGTTATTCCACCTAAACTAACAGCAGTGTCACCCATAAAAATCACTGGAAAGCAGTACTGGAAGTAAAGCAAAGCCTTTAATGCATAGGAAACAAATTAAGGATATCTGTGCAGAAAAAGCCTTCTATCAAAGCCTGCCCCCTGCCACTCACACAGCGAACACCGCATCTGTGGGAAGGGAAACGCCTGTTTTCCTTCAGCATTGCTCTCCAGGAGTAAACACACTGCTGGAGATCATCACCTCTCCTGACTCCCATGAGCCCCATACAGATGGATGACTTAGCCCTGCAGTGCTGCTCTGGGGAACAGGGCCACTGGGAACAGCCATCATTCATTCAATACATGCTGTATACAATTCCTCTGGATTAATTATGTGGTATGTCTGCTTTATGTTCATTATCACAGAGATTTATCTTAGAAGCAACGCCCTCTGCTTGGAAAAATAAATGCTTCTTCTTTGCTTCATTACCTAATAGCTGGAGGAGTGCATTATCCTGGGAAAACATTTTTTTCCACTTACTCGGCTTAAATATTTTATGACCATTTTCCTTTCTAGCTTTCACAATAAATACAACAAATACATGACAGACACAAGATGTGAAGTCGTCACCTATATGTATAATTTAGCATATACAATGAGTTCTCACCTATTTTCATTTTGATATTTTATAAATTGCACTATACTGCTTCCATTGGTTATTTTCATTTACTTTACCCTGTCAGTGCTTAGTCTGACTACAGTCAGCCTCTATCTCATATGGATTCCAGAGCAGATTTTGGGTGGTACAGCTTTTATAACTGTACTTTCTGCAAAGAGATTCCAGTGTTTGAAGAGGCCTTCAGTTACTACTCTTCTGTGAGGATTGCTGCAGTGACATCTCAACATAATACCTCTGCTGCTAATGGCAGAAGATGGTAGAAGACTTTTTTTTACTATTAAATGGTACACACTGTGTAATTCTGCACATAAGAGTACAAACAGCTTGCATAGTCCAGGTACTCTAGCTACATCAGCTGAAAGCAAAGCAAGTCTAAAAGGCATCTTAGGAATGCACCAGTTGAACATAACCCTGAAAACTCATTCCCACTGTCTTGTTTTGTTTTGCCTCTGTTTTCAGGAACACTGATGGAGGAATGATGGCAATGGGATCACCTGCGTGCATCAGCTGCATGGAAACACCCAGGTGTGTACAGGGAGATCAAACCGAGTCCTATGCACATTTGATCTAATGCATGAGCAGGTTTTGCTCCCAATCCTGAACCACTTTGAACAGTGACCATACACTTTCTTTTTCACCTAACCTCTAGAAGAAGATCCCTGCTCAGCCAAGCTGGCCTTCTACCCCAGCTGCATGACTTTGGACATTATGGAATTGCTTGGTAAGAGGTGGTACAAAAAAGTGACCAGCACTGCTGGATCCTTATGCCTTCAGAAGCAGTTTTCATAGAAAACTTGCCAAATAGTTCCCTGAGCAGCATGAAGTCTGCTTTCCCCATATCCAGTGTTAACGTGGCACTTTTTCTCCTATCACCAAAGATTGTATGTTCACCAATCTCATGGTCACTATGGCCAAGACAGGCTCCAGTCACCATTTCACCCGTGAGACCTTCTCTGCTTACAAGCAACAAATCTAGGAGGACACCTTTCCTAGTTGACTCCCTTGGTATCTGTAACAAGAAGTACTACCAAAGACATAAAAATATTTGTCCCTCTGAAAGATCTCAGTCTTATCCATGAAATCTCTCTCTTTGTTGTACTGGTCTGAAGCACAGACTGATACTGAACGTTTCAGGAACTCCTCCAACCTTTGTGAAACAGTTAAATTTACTTTGTGCAGAATATAAATGGCATCAATTTTGAAAGGTCAAGGTATGAAATATTATGTTATTGCAATACATTTACTGTACCCACTAACTCTCACCATCTGTACATCACAGACATCACTGAACTACCACATTTTCTCTGAAAAAAAAAAAAGAAGAAAGGTCTTCAGAAAGCAGTATTCTCTCAGAATCTTGCAATCCTTTGAAGTTTGTTCTCTTTCCAAGGAACAGTTATAAAAGAGGTAAGATTTAAGTCCCCAGCAGAGCTGGGTAAATAACTTTTTGTGTAAAGTAAATGAATTCTGGGGGCACTGAAACTTGGGAACTTGGGGTACTATCCACACATAAATATCCACACCAGAAACAGAGAGTGATGCAAATTTAAAAAAGCCACAATATTTAAGTTCCATGTTTTCATTTTCAATGAAATTTCTCAATTTGAAAGCACTGGATATTTTGCTATGGTATCTTTTAAACAAAATATTTGAAATCATGTTTTTAAATACCACTCCCTTTGTTTATTGTAATAAAATAATCAAAAGGTCTTTGGAAAGTTCCAGTATGTACTTCCCCAAATCCTCAGACTATATATGTTTTTTCTCCTCTAAACAAAACTGATTGTTCTTCAGATGACTTTCTCATGGTGTGTAATATGCTGGGCTGCTGCTTGCACTACAATTGAATTTACTTTTTAGAACATTTTCTGAAATATGCTTTAAAGATAATTCATTTGACCTAAATATTATCTAAATCCCTGAGCCTGTTGCCTCCTATTGGCCAGCCCAAGGCCCTCAGAGACATCAAAATCTTAACTGGAGATTAACTTGTTTGAAGGTGGTCCTAGATTTATTTCAATTAATTACACTGACCTTTAGAGTATATATAGCAACTAATGCAGTGCTTGTCATATGTTTTTTCTTGGTTCATTTGCATCTTTGCTAAGTGAATAGGAATATTTAGAGGAATATTTTCTGAGACTGCTTATTGAACCATGATACTGGGGAATTTTTTATCATGAGCACACATTTCTTATGTCATACAGAGAGGTATGACAATGATGCTGTTATAAAGAGGAAGGGAACAGATCCAAGTTATATATTCAGAAAATACTACAGAATGCCTGTTTGTTTTGTTTTGTTTTGTTTTTGTGGTGTTGTGTTGTGCTTGTTTGCAAGCTTGGACAGATCAGTAGCTCTGTGAGAACGTTTCTTTCTATCAAAGAGTGACTTCTTGCTTTATGACTTCTTGCAAGCTAAGGGATAGTAAAGCGCGGCCTCTGTGCCAGCTGCACCACTTTTCTTCCACAACATCCAGAGAAAACATGCCTGTATTACCACAGGCTGCCATCAGTCAAGTTTTAGTTGCTGTAGTTCCTTTAGCTAACATGTAGAATATGTTCTCACAATGTAATTACCAAGCTCTGTCTTGCTAAGGTAGAGAAATGTCAATGTTTTTTGTGTAATGTTGGAAAGATCTGGGAAGAGATATTCTTCTTCCTGTTGAGCTTCTACATCAAAAACATCACCACACTGTAATTCAGGGTGATGCAATGTAATGTGCCATAACTTCACCAAAAAGGTAGTCAAGGAAGTAAGCTCAAAGTGACATAATTCACTTTCAAATATTTATTTCAGTGTATAACTTCTGTTCTTATTTGTAGAAATGAATATGAGCTCCATATCTAACTTCAGGTATCCAAAGCGAAACGTTCCTTAACATTCCTTCCAAGCCCATACCCAGTAATCCTCACACAAAGACTGACCCATACTTCATTCTTGGTTTCCTCTCCTATGAGGATAAGCTGAGGGAGCTGGAGCTGTTCAGCCTGGAGAAGTGAACGCTCCAGGTAGAGCTGAGGGCTGCCCGTCAAGTATCTAAAGGGGGTCTACAAGAAGAAAGGGGACAGACTCTTTACCAGGGTTTGTTGTGATAGGACAAGAGGAACTGTCTTCTAACTAAAAGGGGAGTTATTTAGACAGGATATAAGGAAAAGGTTTTTTACAATATGGGTGGTGAGGCACTGGCACAGATTGCCCCAAAAGGTGGTGGGTTCCCCACTCCTTGAGACAGTCAAGGTCAGGCTGGATAGGGTTCTGAGCACCCTGATGTATCTGTAGGTGTCTCTGTTCACTGCAGGGAGTTGGACCAGGTGACCTTTAAGGATCCCTTCCAACTCAAATGATTCTATGATTCTATCACCAGCCCATTTTCCTTGCTCCTTACATCATTCTCATGGCTGGAATCTTAGCTTAGTTGGGTAGATAGAGTTGTCAGGGATTTACAGAAATGTGTGAACAGTTCATGGCAGCACCTACCCTATATCAATATTCACTGCAGATCAGCTGGTAGGAATCCCACCTGGAAGATTGCAATGACTAAACTGTAAGAGTTGAACTTATTTATTTTTCTACCCATATTATGCAGCTGACAAATCTGCATTTTATGAATACAAAAACCCATAAAGTAAAGAATGAGTGTTCGATCTTGACTTTGTTTTCTGTGACTATGTTTCACTGTAAATTTAGGATCTAAATGTTCCATCTGAATCCAGGCAAACACAGATTCTTTTATTATTTCAGGAATTCTTTTCTTACACCTTGATCTACTTACTAGTCCTGGAAAGACTTTTTATCTGAAAAGTATTCATTTTTAAGTGAAAATGTATTCATTTAGTATAGAAAGACTCATAATAAATGTTTTGTTTATAAATCTGAAAGTAGGTCACCTTGTAGGAACACTCTCAGATGGTAAAACATCCCAAATGTCCAGATATCACAAATTCTTGATCTATCTGGTAGTTCTCATTGTTATTTCTTGTCCATTCCTCTCTACTTCTGGCTAGAAAACAACTCTTCTTCCTTGAATACCTCTCCAACCATGGCACTATTCCTCATATAATCTACTGTGAACATGGCAATGGCACAAGAAGTGTAGCATGGCTGGGAGCATCTTGCAGCACCATTCATGATTCTTTTATCTCAAGATTCTCATTTCCTAATTTTGTTCCCCCATTTCCTGCACCCATATTGTGACAACCAGCTTCAAAGAAAACTTGAGGCTACAGATTTGTCTCTCCCCGATACTTACATGAAGATCTGAGGATAAGAGGAACTTCTCTAAGAGAACAGACAGGAAATTCTGTACTAACAGAAGTGTGTGAACAGTGTAACTCTCCTGGTAAAGCTTCGATAGGACTCATTATGCAGACAGTATAAACTATTACAGGAAAAAAAGAAAAAAAAAAGAGAAAAAAGCTATATCTGCCTGAGCCAAAACAAGAAGTGCATCACTGAAGCTGTGTATTATGCATGAGGTATACAATGCTGTTGAAAATTGATTTTTTTTAATGGTGCAAAGAGAACTAGCATAGAATGAGATGTGATTTTAAATTCTTAGCCTAATATCATTGCTAATTTTAATTGCTATTAGAAGAACCTTGTTTTCCTCTAAGGCATTATGTAAAGAATCATTCCAGCCCAAATATGCATGGGAAATGTTCAAGAGCCATTAGAAAACAAACAGTGAACATGAAAACAGCAGCAGTAAACTAGCCAATATCCCTGGCTATGAAGCCAAGATGTGGCTGTTCAGCTATCAAGCAGGCGTTAACAGATGACAGATAAGTAATTATTCAACAAAGTTGGACGAAAACCACTTAAAAGCATCCAAAAAATCATGCAAAATAACATCTGAAATGTGATGAACGAGAAAAATTACACATAGCATAACAGCATAATTTCTGTGTAATATTCTTAATTATGAAATATTAACATTTCAGCATCTGAGGTTTTAATGGCTGTTTGGAATCCCATTTCTGACGCTGAGTACCGCACATTTACATATAGCTGGATCTGTACACAAGTCTCCAGCCTGTGCTGAGACTCAACTTTGGCACAGTGCCTTGTGGGAAAAACAGCACAAAGGCAGTTGCTTTCTGTACCTTGCCTGGACACCTCTCTGCACAGTCAGGGCTGCCCTGTATAAGAATAGTGTCAGTCAGGAGCTCTTACCACCTTGCAGGAGATGACCATCACATAAAGGGTTTTTGATGGCACGTCCTTCTACTTCCCTGACCAGAGGAAAGCCTTCACTGCTGAAGGGAGAAAAATTATAGATTCTGTGGGTGCTCCCATCCCTGGAAGTGTTCAAGGCCAGTTGGATGGGGCCCTAGGCAGCCTGATCTAGCTGGGGGCATCTAGGGGGATGGCAGTGAATGGGCATTAAGGTCCCTTCCAACACAAGCCTTTCTCTAAATCTCTGATTCTCTGATTCTAAGATTTTCTGACACTACTGAAGGACAACCAATGGGATTCTGAAAGCAGTGCCTGCAGAAGATAGTGGCACACAGATGAAAGGCAGCATTTTGTAATGGCTGGGAATTTAAACACATCCAACTAAAATATGCGAAGCTTTAAGCAAAAAGGAAAAATTCTAGTTTAAATAATATAGAAGTAATTGGGATTCAACAGTGAAAAAAATACTACACAGCTAAACTAGAACTGGCTAAACATGCAAGTAGAGCTGGTGTAGCTCCTTCGTAAGGCTTACAGACTAAAATGCTTTCTTCATAAGTATCCACTGCAAAGTGTCTTACCAAGAAAGGGTGTAAAGAAGTGGGAGAAAAAGTGTACAACACAGAGTAGAACTCAATAGCCAAGGTATTCTCTAATAAAGGACTGTCCTATATTAAATACTCATAGAGAACCATCCAAAATAGACAGATTTCATGGCAATTTGTAAATCAATTACTTACTTGTTAATGCTGCTTTGAGGACCGCTTTGGACATTACACAAATGCCCAAAACAATCAAATTGAGTTCAGTAGCAGAGAAGTGCCCACAGCCAAGCAAACACATGTGCCATGTGTAGAACAATTTCACAAAACAAGTAACTATATGGAATCAATTTAAAATCAGTTAATTTGAAGTAAAAGTGCAGCTTAAAATATCCCAGGAGATAGGCAGGTGCTAGAACAGTTGCCATATATGCTGTGTTTTGAGTGGCAGGAACAATTTGGTTACAACAATTACATTTTAATTAGTAACAAATCAAAGATCTGTAATAACTTATGTGAAAGGCGTAACTACAGACGAGAACAAATCCTGGCCTTACAGCTTGAGCAGAAGTAAGTGAAAAGCAGAAAGTATTAGTCATAGCACTTACAACACTTACTTTGAAATATTTGATGGTGTGAGAACAAAACTGAATACTGGCAGAAACATTTCTTTTTGGTCTTATTGAGCAACACAATTTTTTGTGTGTGTGTTTAAAAGGATGGAAAAATGTTTGAACTGAGATACAATATTCTTAAGTCATGAAAAAAAATCTGATTTATGCCTTTTATTATTAAAACATTATGTGGATATAAATAAGAACCATGATTGGCAGTGGCTGGAAAAGAAGTCTGTTGTTAACTCATTAATTAACTGCATCAAGTACTTGTTTGGAATTGTAGCTAAGTATTTCAGAATGGATCTAATGACATTACTTTCATTGTTTGATGCAGATATACATATTTTACCCCATGCCCCATCGCTCAGATTTTTGCATATTTCATAGGAATATAAGATTGGAAGTCCTCCTCCCCTTTAGTCACTAAATACATTCCCTGCTAACTGAGACGACCACGTGAATAGTTTGCTATCATTCTGTTATTATTAGATACATTAGACAGCTTCCTTTTTCTTTTCTGTTTTTTTTTTTTAAACAAACTTGTCCCAAGAAGCTCTGTAAATCTCATTATGTTAAGTGCGCTGCCAACACTCATCAACAAAGGGGAAAGACATACGATAAAAACAAAAACAGTTATCTTTTAGCCACATGTAAATTCCTGACATGACTGAAGTTGATGGGTACTCTGCCATTTGTTTGAGATTTCACCCTGCAATTATAGAAAGAAGGTGTTCCCACTCCTTCAGGCTTTCCTCCTGGAGTCATAGAAGCATAAAAGGAAGGATGGGATTATAAAGCTAGGTTCATACAAAGGGTTTGGGATTTACAAACTGAGTCTGAAACTCACCTACCTGATGCTTTCACTTAGCAGCTCTTCCACTCCAGAAAGCCCACAGTTTCCAGATTCCTAATTTGTGCCTATTCTGGGATGCACCAATAATTACTTACACACTCAAAGGAAATTCCCAAACAATGAGACTACCACTGTATTTTCTTCCTTGTGAGACCTTATAAGACTGATGTTCTTAGACCAACGAAAAAAAAAAAAAAAAGCTGTTTCTTCTACAAAATTAAGGACAAAAAGTATCTTTTGTCCTTACCTTTTAATGTCCTCATCTTTTATGCAAAATTTGAAGGTTAAATTTCTCATCCAGGATAAACGAGATTCAAGGTTAAATCTCAAGAAGGTTTGATCAACCTCACCCCCTTACCAAGGGAATTTATTATCACCATGTCTCAAACAAGTCAGAGTGAACCTCAATTAGCCATCTTAACTGTCTCCACTTTGCAAATCGTAATTCAGGAGGAGTTCAAAGCCTGGAAAGATCTGAACAGTCCTAAGTCCATTCAGCTGTTTCATACAGTATGCAAAAATGTGAAGAAGAAACTACAAAACCTGGACTCAACTCTCCCAGCACCACCACCTTTGAAGATGAAAGAAACAAGTTTGAATGCAACAGTGAATGCTCCACATCATTAAATTGCACTGGCTCTTCCTCTTACCTTCATTAGGGATTTATGAGAAAGGGAGACTCCAGTTTCAGGAGAGAGGTACTGACATTGGAGAACCTTAATGAGTGAGATTCGTGCTTATTTGGGATTTCTTACCACCACTGTGTGTTGAAGGTGGGTCCCATGGACCCCACTCTTGCATACCTCACTCTCCATATACAGAGCACAACTGCCTAACTGTTGAAGTCTCTGCATTGAAAAAATGGTCCCTGAAAATTCTTCAGTTGATGGTGGACTCCCAGAGCATAGTGATGCACTGGAACAGGTTGCCCAATGAGGTTGTGGATGCCCCATCCCTGGATGCATTCAAGGCCAGGCTGGATGTGGCTCTGGGCAGCCTGGTCTGGTGGTTGGCGACCCTGCACATCGCAGGGGGGTTAAAACTCGATGATCATTGTTTTCAACCCAGGCCATTCTATGATATGATTCTATGACTCTGGTACAGAGAATAAAAGAAAATAAGCATTTAAAAAAAAATAGATTTCCTTCCTTGCCTCTAAAATTATCAATCTTACTGATCTAATGGGATATAATAATGCCAGTGTGCAACTGGACAGTTCAAGAATTTTTCTGGGAAAGTTATACTTCTGGGACTTGCATAAATGTTTTTGCATTCAAAAAAACATGGAGCTGAGGAAGTATTTTGGACTGAAAACCAGTATTTCCCATACACAGAATAAGTCATAGAGACTCTCTTAGCCAGATGCAAAACAAGCAAAATATATCAGCTGGGAAACTTGTTTGAACTGACAAGTTAAGGTAAAAGATGCTTGTGTTTGTTGTCTTCTGAACACAATAAAAGTCTTTCAGTTTCATGTGAGCAGATACTGGTTTTCTCATTTCACTGTGTTATGCATTTGTAGTGCTGAGATCACTTTTGCACAGCTGTCTCATGGGCAGAAGAAGGAGCGCACAGTCTTCCTCTTCATGAGTTTTTGTTTGTTCTACAGATGTAACGCTTTAAACTGAAAATCTCCTTCATTACACCTGAACTTTGTGTCCCATGATTTTATCTCTGGCTGTGGACATCTTGGCTCTTGATCTTCTCTTTGTATCCTAATTAAATGGAAAGCAATTACTCAGAGGAGCTGGTTATCTGGAAGGTTTCCATACAGAGATCTGAAAACAGAAGTTTCTTCTTCAGCCTGCCTCTCGTTTCTATTACTTCAAGGCACAACTGAGATGAATTATTTTCTCTTCTTTGCCCATCAAACCGAACTCAGGGGTACAACAGCCTCATGTAGCGTTACCTGCACTGGCACACATGGGCTGCTACAGTGGTTACAAAAGTCAGCAGAGCAAAACTTGCAGTGAAAAACTGACAAGAGCACTCTTATACACAGAGCACTGTTCCAGGGACCAAGGAGTTCTCAGCATAGCAAAGAAATTTGACAAACTCCCTATCTGTGCTTAATTAGCGGGTCATTTGTTTTCCTCATCAATCAATCCTTCCCAAGCTGTACTTCAAAAAAAAAAAAAAACTAAGTTTCTGTTATTAAATGATAGCTCTTGAGTGACTATTTCTTCAAGACAACTATTGAGGCAGAGGTGATTTATATGATACAAATGTGAGGGCATTCCCTAAGCGTGTTGCATTTATTTGGTACAGACATATGCCTCATTTGAACACTTCTGAATGCTCTCAAGCAATTACAGAAACAAGGAGGGGTATGTTTTCTCAAAAAGTAAAAAAAAAAGAAAAGCTGTAAGCCTGTATTTCCTTATTGATGAACCACAAGTTGCAAAACTGGTTCAGTGCAGAAGCCTAAAAGTTATTTGCCTTCCATTCTGTACAGAAGGTCCTCCTTATAACCAGGCTCAGTGACAGCTGGCTTTCTGGACTGAAGAAAACTGCTCGGTCTCCTATGGATCCCAAGAAATGTTTTTTTTCCTACCCGTGGATGTTCCCTGCCCCTCTTGACTGTCTCTGCCTGAGATTCCCTGCTCCTCTCCCCCGCGCTCCAGTTGCTGGAACTGTTGCTCTCCAGCTGTGCCCAGATGTTTCCACAGGAAGGATCCATCTTCCTCCTCCTCCAGGAAATCACTCTGACTCCAGTGCCCTTTTACCTTTAACCCAACATGCAAGCAGCAAGAAAACAAAACAGGCAGACAGTCCATAATGGTCCACTGCTCTCTGTCAATATTTTTCAACTTGTACCGGAAGAAGAGAGAAACGCGTTACAGGAAATAAAACAAATAATTAAAGGATGTTACAAGCTGAAAAGGAAGCTGAGTATTAAATGACCAGAGAAACCCGTTCATTCGTCTGGCAAAGGACAGAAATGTCAGCCATCCACAGATTTGCAGCATCTCTTATGCCGTGAGTGTTACAGGTCAAGTGAAATAAAGGTTGCCATATCCCGGTACAGCAGATGCATTCATGTTCCCACTCTTCCTGTATCTCTCAAGGCAAAACAGAGGCCAGCAATAAACTGAGCTCAGAAGGCCATCAAACCCTCAGTGTAAGTCTGACTTCAATTACTGGCAGGAGCTCCCTTTCATCCACGGAAGGAAGACAGCGTGTTGCCCAGAAAAGATGAATTACCCCTTTCTGCTTCAGTGGGCCCTGTGAGCACCACACCCAATTGGCTCTTGATATACCGACTCTCCAAGTTAAACTCCTAAACTCAATCTTAATTATGCTTAGTTGGATCTGGCCTCTAATTATCATCATGTCTTTTTAAAAATTGTTCTTTCCACTCCACGGTAGACCTTCCTAATAAACTACTTTTTAAGCTTTAGATTTCTAGCCCTAAATTTGCTACCAACTCTGAACGTAAGCTTAATTATTAGTAGGAGCACATTTTAGTAGAACAGAGAATATGAAAAATTTTCCCTTATATTATTTAATAATTTTAAAGTCATTCTTTTCTAGCAATTACTAATATTAAAAAAATTACATATTACTTATTGCCTATTGCTGTCTTTGTAAGTCATACAAAGTGTGCATCCTAACACAAAATCTAATTATATGAATGAACTGAAGGAAATACAGAAGTAAATGAAAATATAAAACACTGACCAATCCAATTGTCTTCCCTATTTGTAATTAGATCTTTATCTAATTTGCAATTAGATAAAGATGGTTCCTTTAAAAATTAAACCCAAAACTTTAACACTAGCTCCAAACCTAACATTAACATTAATGCCAGCAGTGGATACAGCAAGGAAAAACTAAACAAAAGCTTATTTCCATAGAGAAACATATCATCCCCATATTTCCCTAGTCCCTGGAGAATCCAACAATAAGTTGGAGTCAGTAAACTTCAGGTTCCCAATTCCTAATACTACCCCTAGCCAGCACACTTGTATGAATCGAGGTAGACTGTGTAGAGCCTTGATCTTTCCAAAAAACTGCCCACTTCCAAGTCTTTAGGAATAATGAAATACAACCATGGCCTGGGCTCTCAGCATGCCTCTTAACCCAAAACCTAATTTTGGTGCTAAACTCAAAGCAAGGCAGAGCTTTAACCTAATCTATAGACCACCACTAGACCTAAACTTAATAATACACGCATACATATTTGACATATAACATATAACATATTTCCCTTTATCATCCCTTGTTGTCCCATCTTCTAAGCTCTGCAAGACACAGATAATACATTAAAAGCTGCAGTCATGAAAATGAAAATGTGGTTCCAAACCCTATCTCAGGCTGTATTTATTTTCAGAGTTAATCACATAATGATAGAAATACCCAGTTTCTTCCCTATCATTACTTGTCCTGTTCCTAACTTAGGTGAACAGAATAAAGAATTCAGCAAATGTCCTTAACACACGAGTTCCCAAACACCAGCTGCAACACTTGCACTAATTGAACAAGCAGATAGTAGATGTGGATGTAGAGCATTCACTCCTTTCAGATGCTGCCCTCTTCCTGATGCTCCACTCCCCCGAGGAAACCAAAAAAACACCTCTTCTTTTCCAGAGTTTCTCTTACATTCCCAAACTGCAGCTCAAAATGCATCTTGATGTTTAGTGTTAGCTAGTTAGGTGCACCCCACCAAGCACTGCCCTTTGTGGATTGTTCCCCTCTGCAGCTGTGGGCCTCAGAACCTTTATGCTCAGACTCTTACAAAACCTTATCCCACCCTCCAATTATTTCCAGTAGACAAATGCGCAGACCGCAGATTTGTTTCCACAGATTCATCCCAGCAAATCAAGAAAAAATGGTCCCATTAATGAAGATTAATGAGATCTTCATTCTCCTCCCACCTATATGAGACCTACAAAATATTGCAACATGCCTGGCTCCTGGATCTGCAGAAACTCTGCAGTTAATCCCAGCGCTGATCCTACACAGTGGCTGAGATCTGTATCCAGGGTAAAAAGACCCTTTCAAACGTTCCCTTTAGTCAGCATTTGTCCTCTTCCCAGTTTTGAGGAACTTAATAGTTTTGTACTGGCCATGTTTACAGAAACATTGAAAATAATAAAGTATTGCTTTTCCCAAGTTTAACTGGGATTTAGATAAGAGTGATTTAATCTTTTTTGGCAAACATTTTTTTTCCCTGATCATTCCTCTGGAGAGTCTGTGCAGTGAACACCCCATCAGAATCAGCCGGATGGGGAAGAAAAATATTTTCAACGAGTGAATTTCACAGAAAATTTGATAACAACCAAAATCGACTTCTCCAACTACAATTCCAACAAACATATTTTCAAACATAAATTAAGACAGTGCTCTAAAAGCACACCGTTTGTGCCGTAAATTTGAAAACCCTCTTTCAGTGAATCATAGAATCATTAAGGTTGGAAAAGACCTCTAAAGTCATCCAGTTCAATTGCCAGCCCATCCCCACCATGCCCAGTGCCCACGTCCCTCAGTGCCACATCTACACGGTTCTTTAACACCTCCAGGGACGGTGACTCCACCACCCCCCTGGGCAGCCTGTTCCAATGCCTCAGCACTTTTTCTGAGAAAAGAAGTTTTCCTAACATCCAACCTGAACCTCCCCTGGTGCGACCTAAGGCCCTTCCGTTTGTCAAAACTGATAAAAAGAAAGTATTACACAAAATCTACTCCACTGTGTGCAGGTTGATTTCCGCAGCAGCAGCAGCTGAGGTTTCAGCGCTGCCATTTCAGTTCCATACTTGATGCAAGTTCCCCACCTAGTGGAGTAATTTCTAATGCTTCTCGAAATGATTGCACTTCCTCACATGTCATTTTTATTTCTGATTCACTTCAGGGGTAATAGCAACAGTTTCCTTACACAGTGTTTCATAAATATTTAAGCTAGATAGTAAGTTCTTCCAAAATTAAAATTCGTTTCACACAGAAACTGAAATATTTATAATACCTTTGGAAAACAGAAGGGCCAAGGGAGCTATACCAGAAAACCTCGTTGCCCAGAGCAAGTCGGTAATTTGAAAGCACAGCCTCAGTTGTTTTTCACTTTGATTTGGACAAAATTCTATTCTTCAGAAATCCTATGTGCTCCACAAATGTTAACAACAATCACATTTTACAGAGCATTTTACAGCAGGCAAAATACTGTTCATAGCTCTAACAGCATACCTACGTATATCAAGCAGAGATTCTAGTGGAAAGGAGGGATCATCAGAATGCCAAAAGTCAGACTAAGCAATCAGAATCCTCCACCCTATTTAAATGTATGCATCATCACAATATCCCTCCTTCCAAACTACAGCATCTTGGAGAAACACACAAAGGTAAGGGCAGCTCATGCCAAACACACAGGTCACATCTCACATCTGCTTAAAATTAAGCTGGCACGTCACTCCTTGGCTTAACCCTGCTCCTGCACTTATAACCACACGTGTAGCACAGAGCACAGAGAAACCAATGTCCCCTCA